CCCCCCGCCCCGTCTGGCCGGCTCCTGCCACGCCAGCCCGCCTTTCCCAAACCTGCCTCTCACCAGGCGTTTTTGCCCCTGTGCATCTGTTATGGAAAAGGCCCAGCTGGTAGAAAGATCTCGCCCTAAAACTTTGGAGCCAAGTGTTTTGGTTGGGTTGTTTTGCAAAGGTTCAAATACCAGCTCCATTGCTGTGTGATCCTGAGCAAGCTACTTAACCTCTCTGTGCTTCCTATCTGTAAAATGGATTGTCCTGAGGATTCTGCAAGTTAATCCATTATATATATAACGCAGGGGACACCGCCGGGTGCACAGTAAAAGCTGGAAGTGTTGACCGTTACGTGTTACTATTATTTCTCTCCAAAGGGGACCTCTTTGCCGGACTTAAGTCACACCTATGTCACACCTTGTATGCAAGGTTGATACTAGCCACAATTTGCATGTCTCTGTCTTCTCCCAAATTCCTTTTCCAGACACTGGGGAGGGGTGGGGAGGGGATGATGGAGCGAGGAGGGGGGTTAATTGAAGGTAATAAATCCAGGCAGCTGCTACAGAGGAGAGGGGTGGAAGGGGAGGTGGAGAGGAGGAGCAGTCATTAGACTTGAAAGGAGCCAAAGGCAGCATGTCCAGCCCCCTCATTATCACAGAGCACTGAAGCCCAGAGAGGGAAAAGCACTTGCCCGAAAGGCAGAGCTGAATCTTCTGACTTCACTTCCCTGGAGCCCCAGCACTCGGCTCCCACGTGGATGGAAGCTGTGTGCCCAAGCTGGGTTTGGAGTTTCGATATGGGGGGCAAAGGGCTGCTTTGTACTATAGTTACTTCCCTACCAGAGAGGGACCAAGGTCTGACTGAAAACCTACAGGTTCAGCTGCCACAAACATTTATTAAGCACCTGCTGTGTACCAGGCACTCTGCTAGGCACATCTCTTATTTGTGCCATTTGAGTAGAAGACACCTGATGGTGGCGCAGGTTTGCTTTCTGGGTGGGGGTAGATTGGGCTCTGAGGCCTGACTTGGTCCACTGAATTCACTTTGATGACATCTCCTACTGTGGGTTTAAATGGGTGTGAGCTTTTAAAATAGCTGGTCCTCATGTGAGCACCTGTCCACCCCCAAGGGTCTCATGGGGACCATTCCCATGTGACACAAAGGGATGAAAATTAGTCCTAAGATGAAAACCAGAGGGGGCAGAGAAGGCCAGGCAGCCACCCCCAGACACCGGAGAGCAAGCACAGCAGGGGCGATGTGGGGTTTGCCTCCCTCCTGTGGCTGGCCTTCTGGTTTCTGGGTTGGTTTGGCATCATCACCCCTCTCCAGGGCTGCAGGGGTGGTGTGTGGGGGTGGTTTATTTGCCCAGGGAAGGAGGCTTTGGGGCTTTCCAAGAATAGTACCCCAAGGTCAGGCAGTTCCTCTACAAAAGGTGACTTTGTTTTGAGCAAGTGGCTTCCTTGGGGCTTGTGCCCTCTCAAGGTTGCCCAGGGAAGTGAACACCTCATACCTGGGTCCCCTACAGCCCAGTGGTTGTGAGGCAGGGAGGGATACAGGAGCCTGGGCAGTGGGCTCCTCTCCCACCGGGCCAAAGGGGGGTGAGGCCCTCACTCTGAAGTGTCATCCCAGCCCCAGCCCCCAGCCATTCCTGCCAGCTGCAAAGCCAGCTGTGCACAGTGCCCCCCAGGCTTCTCTGTGCAGACCTGACCAGGAACCCAGGTGTACCCTCCACTGGGGCCATTGACAGTTACTAGGGTCAGGCTCCCTCCCCAGGAATGAGGCAAGGCTGGGTCTGAGGTGGGGACTCAGGGTGGATGCTGGGCTTCCCTGCACAGAGGATGCTGATGCTGCCTTCCCTCCAGGGCCTGGGCCCAGCTACCACCACGCCAGAGGCTAAAACTGTGCCAGCTCACTGGGCAGGCCATGGGCAGGGGGAGCTGATGAGGTGCCTCTCTGCCATGACTTCCCCACTGTTTGGTCGAATTTGTTCTGGTTTTTGGTCCCCAGGACCCCACCCATAACCCCCCACCAGGCTGTCTCGGAATTGGATCAACCTGCGTTCAAATCTCAGCTCTCCTACTCACTATGACTACTTAACTTTTGGAACCTCTGTTTCTTCACCTTCAAACTGGGAGTTCACCTCCTGGGGCTCCCACGTGGTGGGTCCCTGGGCATAGTACATGCCCAGACCACCTAGAGCATCTGGCCTCCTGTAAGTGCTCATAGACGTGAGACTCCCTTGCCTTGTCCCTTTCCCAGGGGTGCTAGCAGCTCGACCTGGCTCCTGAATCTCCGGAGGGGATTCCTTGAAAGCTCCTTTCCCAGCCCTGAGCCCTCACCACCTCCATGCTGCCCCAGGTCCTCTGCCAACCCCCTGCCAGCCTCAAGTCCTTGCACTGGGATTCCAGTGGCATGTTATCCACTGGGCTACAGTGGCATGTTATCCATTCTTCCCCTGCCTCCAGGCAAGACTGTCCCTCCACCCCTTGCTGGCAGCACCTGAGGGTCTACCCCAGTCTTCAACAGGCCCCAAAGGGAACCCTCCCATCAGAGGACCCTTATGCCAATGGTGCTCTCTTCCACCCCGTACCTTTGGTCTCAAAGGGGTGGTGCGGAGGTCTCCCTCCGTTCTCCGCCCGGTTCATGGTCTTGTTGTTCTCCAGCTCTGGAGGGGGCTCGGGGTACTCGCCCAGCTCGGGGATGATCTCTGTGGCATCGTTCTTGAAGGCCTGCCACCCCTGGGCCTCCACTGCACGGAAGGCTGCGTGCACCAGCAGGCAAACGAGACACAGGGCAAGAGAGAGCTGCATGGTGCCAGCTGGAGGAGGGCACCTGGCCTTCCAGTAGCACAGGCTCTAGTCCCCAGCCCAGACACGTTTGCCTTTTTAAAGCCCCCTCTGCCTCGTGCCAGCCAATGACAGGCTGGGGCAGGGCTGGTCCCATACTTCCCCCAGCCCAGGGGGAGGGAAGGGGAGTGCTCAGAGCAAGCCCTCTCCAAAGACTTCTCCTCAAGCGCAGCAAACTCCCAAATTGCTGCCTGTGCTCCCAGGTGACCAGAGAGAGGGGCGTGTGAGGCCGCCTGCTCTCCAGCACCTCCCATGTGCAGGCGGCTGTGGTGTTCAGACATCAAAATGAGCCCCGGCTCTTAATCTCTACCTCCCTTGGGCTTTCTCAAAACAGACTCTGGACCAGCTTAACAAAGGAAACTGCAGCTCTGAGCCCTCCACAGGGCTGAGCCAACTGATCCCATTTCTCAGGCCAAGTTCATTTGTCACCCCAACAAATGGCCCTACCCCTACAGGTGTCAATTTGGCCCCCATAGACCCAGACAGAAGCAGAAGGATGCTTTTTAAGAAATCTCATTGGTACCAGTTCCACGAGGCTCAGCATTGATTATCCTGGCCAAGAAAGCCCCTCTTGGCATCTTCTCGAAGGCAAGAGAGGAAACTGAGGGCCACCCGCTTGGGCAAGGGGGCGGGGATTCTGGTTACAAGGCTAGGATGAGCAAGTTAACAGGCGCTGGAGATGGAGCTCAAGGAGGAACCTCAGCTCATGCCCCTCAGAGATCCTACACACGGGGACAGGCACTTTCTGGCCAGGACACTCACTGTGGCTTGCTGGCTGATGTTCTAAAAGCAGTTATTTCCCTAGCCAGGCTGTGGGTAGGAGTGGAGAGCCCAAAATCCCTTAGCAACAGCCAAGGCCAAGGTTTTTAGTGCTGACACTTTTTTCCCTTGTCTCCCAGACCCATTACGTTTTTCAAAACCAGCTTTGAGTCCTATATGGAAAATCTTATTGGCGCATACCACGAGCTGCATTCCATGAAGCACCGCAGGTCCAGCCAGCCACAAAGAAACCAAAAGGAATTGCTGCCTCGGCCCCGGAGCAGAATGAGGGGCCTGGGAGGGGCAGAGGCCTGGGGGAGGAAGGTTCACACCTGAGGTGCAGGAAAAGAAAGGAGGGCCAGCGGAAGCTTTCATTGCCGAGGAATTGAGGAGGCAGCCGCTCCTGGCCCTGAAGGAGGCTGAGAAGAGGGCTGCGGCCCAGGTCCCCTCGGTATTTTCACTGGGCAATGAATCAGCGCGCCCCACCTGCAGAGCCTCTGTGAGGCCTCTGCCACCTGCCTCGACTTGTAAGCCACGGTGTCCATCTGCGGCCGTCTGTCCCTCCTCTTTCCATCATCCATCACTCAACACATGAATGCAGCTGCTCTGACAGTTTTACAAGCCAGACAGAAGCCCCTGCAGGAAGGGCCCTCTCCGATACCGCTTCCTTCGTCTTTCCTTCGGGGCAGACAAAAACAGCTGTGGCCATTGTTGGGGGTGATCTATCTCTCCCAACAGAGCCTGTGTGTTGTGAGAAGCTGGTCCTTCATGCCCCCTCCCCCTGTCTGTGACCCTCCGGCCTCGTTTTCCCTTGCTCTGGAATGTGGACCATTAACCCTGTTGTGGCCAGACAACTGCCTTCTTGCCCAGGACTTCGGAGAGGGCCATTCTGATGCCAGAAGTCCTTGAGCTGGCGGGACTGAAGCTGGAGCCCCACCTGCTGTTGGGAGCTGCAGGCCTATCCGAGGGAATCCGAGATGTGGGACCATCCTTGGAACACTTCTGCCACCTGCTGGAGGTGGAAGGAGAAGCCAGCTCCTGGAGGACGGCAAAGGTCAGGATTTTATTTATTTCATTATTTTATTTAGTACTAATGTTTAAAAAAAGAGATGGAAGAATCCAATGGACTTGAATCTCTAAATTATCTCCAAACCTTTGAATTATTGTCTGCCAGTGTAGAGTCATGCTTTCCACAGGCTGGCTGAGACAGCCTGGCTATGATGCCGTCAGCTGTGTTAATCCGCACCTGAGGGCAAGCTTACTTTTTTATTGGTTAATACTCATTCAAAGATATTTTTTCCATTGATTTTTATAGACAGTGGAAGGGAGGGAAGGAGAGAGGGAGAGAGAGAGAGAGAGAGAGAGAGAGAGAGAGAGAGATCGATGAGAGAGACACATCGTTTGCCTCACACTTGTGCCCCATCCAGGGCCCAGGATCAAACCTGCAACCCAGGTACGTGCCCTTAACTGGGAGTCGAACCCGAGACCCTTCAGTGTGTGGGCTGATGCTCTAACCACTGAGCTACACCAGCCATTGATTGTAGAGGTGGGGCAGAGAGAAGGAGAGAAACATCAATATGAGAGAGAATATCAATTGGTTGCCTTTTTAAAAAATATATCTTTATTGATTTCAGAGAGAGGGAGGGAGAGGGAGAGAGAAACATCAATGATGCATTGATCGGCTGCCTCCTGCAGGCCCCCTACTGGGGATCGAGCCCACAACCTGGGCAGGTGCCCTGACCGGGAGTCGAACCTCGATCTCCTGGATCCTAGGTCAGTGCTCAACTGCTGAGTCACGCCCAGCCGGGCAATTGGTTGCCTTTTGTATGTGCCCTGACTGGGGATCAAACCCACATCATCTTTGTATATGAGACAACGTTCCGACCAAGCCACACCGGCCAGGGCACCGGCTGCTTTTTTACTTAATGATAATTCACCTTTATATTTACCCAGTCCACAAGCTTGTCATTCAGAGCAAGACAATGCTCCAGGCATTGGCTTACTTCTGTTCTGAGTAGTTTAGGTTATAGCCAATGTTCCCCTATCCTCGGTAGGGATGCTATGAACATCCTGTAAAAATTTTCAAATTAAACTTTTAATTTTGGGGTCCTTGTAAATTTACATGCACTTGTAAGGAATACTACAGAGATAATTCCATGTGCCCAGTTTCTCTCAATGGTAACTTCTTTCAAAGAGAGGCTCTTCATCCGTGCACTTGGAGATTCCTTCCCCTTCGGAGCCTAGTTGCACAGCCCTCCACTCTGCCTTCTCCTTTTCAGCATCTCCTTCCCTCTTCTTTTTTCCTTCCTTCCTCTCAGGGTGGCTGCCCAAGTGCTCTCTACACTAAGAACGTTAAACTGGAAGGTCATCTAGGTTATGGGCTTTCAAACTGTTTCTCAAAACCCTAGGCTTCCACAGAGATGTCTCATGGGTTTAAAAAGATATACACTATAGCCCAGCCAGGTGGCTCAGCTGGTTGGAGTGACATCTGGTGCACCAAAAGGTTGTGGGTTCAATTTCCGGTCAGGGCACATACCTAGGTTGTGGGTTCGATCCCCTATCAGGGTGCGTATGGGAGGCAACCAATTGATGTTTCTCTTGAACATTGATGTTGCTCTCCATCTCTCTCCCTTCTTCTCTAAAATCAATTTTAAAAATAGCCGTGGGTGAGAATTAGAAATATATATATATATTTTATTTAAAAATAGAATAAAAATATTAAAAGCATTCGCTTATAATGAACTGGAGCCCACCCATTTATTGTGTTGCCTCTGGTTAACTCATTTTAGTGTACACTCAGAAATGGAATCTCTGCACACTTGAACTTCTCATAAATGGGTCATCAATTGAGGAGCTATGGCTCAGAGACTATCTTTTTAAAAATTAGGCTTGGCCATGTCCATACCCATAAAATTACACCAGTGAGCACAGGTAGCTCTGCCTTAGCTCTGAGTTTTAGAATGTACTTGACACTGTGCCATCACAACCGACGTAGACATTAACCGGATACCAAGCAGATTCCAAAACTGCAATTATCTATAAGTCTCATTTCAACATTCTGTGCTTACTAAAGCAGCCTGGATCTTTAAAATAAGACTATACAGAAATCACATCCATACATTAGGCAGTACATCCATACACAATGGAATGCTGTGCAGCTGTTAAAATGAATGGGACTATAAGAAATAATGGGTAAGCCTGGCCGGCGTGGCTCTGGTTGAGCATCGACCTAGGATCCAGGAGATTGAGGTTCGATTCCCGGTTAGGGCCCATGCCTGGGTTTTGGGCTCCATCCCCAGCAGGGGGCATGCAAGAGGCAGCCGATCAATGACTCTCTCATTGATGTTTCTATCTCTCTCTATCCCTCTCCCTTCCTCTCTCTGAAATCAATACAGACTTTTAAAAAAAAGAAAAAGAAATAATGTGTAAAATATATTAAGCAAAAAAGGCAAAGTGCAGAACATTTTCCATTCACGAGGAAAAGGATATCTATATACACACATGTATATATGTGTGTGTGTGCTTACATAGGCATGAGATTTTCTAGAAGGATATACTTAACAGTGGCTTCCTCTGAGGAGAGGGGTTGAAGGTTTGGGGTAGGAGATTCACTTTGCATTATAAGCCTTTTGTATTGTTTGAATATATTACTATATATATACAGTATTACCTATTTAATGAAAATGTTTTTAAAATTGTACTTAAAAAACTTTTACATCTTAGTACTCTGCCTTAAGATTTTGTGTAAAAACATGTTACCACGAAGCTCAGAATATGAGTTAGTCTAAGCGCCTCTAAGTGAAGACTAGAGAGGCTCTTTTCCTGCCCAGCCTATCTGGGAAAAAAGGCAGCCAACTCCGAGTTTTTTTATTCCCAAGGAAAAGGCAGTGCTCATCGTGGCAGAGATCATGGTAATGGTGGAATTTAAAGCATGTGGGGTCAGGGATGTGTTTTGGGACTGCCCATTTGTAGGATAACAAATCCTAAAATGGCACCCAGTCATCTTCATGTGAGGCTACCTTGAGGCTGTCACCCCAGTCCGTCTACTTTCTTAGAACCATCAGTCTTACCTCCCTCATTTGGAGTGGATCATTGCACTCAAGAATATTCCAGTCAATTATACCTCAATAAAGCTGAAAATTTTTTTTTAATTAAATAAATAAAAAAGATTTGCTAACACAGGAAGTTTCTGATACTGGAGGGGTGTTCAGCAAATATCTACTGTATAAATATAATCATCATGGAACCTATGACTAGCTCAGGAGGGCTCATTTTTAGATGATTCTTTTTAAAAGTTAGAAAAAACAAACACAAAAAGCTAAGCGTAAACACAATCAGCTGTGATAAGGAGCAAAAAAAAGACCATTTCTTGGTAATATAAGACATTTATTTTGGTTACAGTATTAGTATTTTAACACTGATTTGTGATGTAACAGACATTAAACTTATTTTTTAAAAAATTTCATCCTTCCCCTTTTCTGTCAAAAAAAAAATAAATCACACTTTCACAATCAAATTACCCTAAAAGCTAACAGGAGGTAAGTTACACTTCCAACCAATCTACTCTCTCAACCGGAGATGGCCTCTAATTCTAATCAGGATAAAATCTTGCCTTGGAAGGACCATCATTGTTGGCTCTTCAGTGATACTTGACACCAGTTTTATGACAGAAAATTTCCTGCGAGAAGCTTATATTTTTATTATAAGATCAGTGCTTATTTTGATTAAAACATTAGCATCTTAACGTTAATTTGTGACACAAAAGGCACCAGCATTCATTTTCGAATCATCCATCACCACGGGTGGGACACAGCGCCACCTGCTGGTCATCACGTTGTTACATACCCTCTGACTTCAGGTGGTGGTCAATTCCAAGTGGGGATTCTCCGAGAATCCTACAATGTCAGAGCCAAAGGGACCTTAGACGCCTTCTAAATGAGTCCCCTTGTTTGGTAGATGGTGATTTCTGCTCTCCAGATAACTCAGAGTGGCAGGGAAACAAACCAGCCTGTGGTATGTGTACTGCGTTAGAATACTGAAGAAACGCTTGGTGCTCTAATTTGGGGGTCTAATAGTCAAAGAAAGGGATCAGGTCAGGGGAGGGAGTGAGGGCACCCTGAGTTCCTATTCCATCACTTCCCAGGGGTAAAGCTGTCCAGAAACAGCTTCCCCTCCGCTGGGCATGTGCTGACTCTTACACAATAGAATATGACTTTATTTACTCAAAGAACGAGGAGCTAAATCTTGTGAAGTAAATATGGGGCTTCTGAGACTACAGACTATCAAGAAATCCCAAGTTATCAGCATAAAAGTAGTCCCAAAGAAAAGGCAGTAGTTCTCCCACTGACCTTTTCTCCTTCATAACCCCCCCCCAAAAAAAAACACACGGGTCTTCAAGAGCTCCTGAGTAGCTGTGGCTGTCCTGGGGACCACTGGCTGGGCACGGGAGGGGAGCCCTGGCCCCATATCCTGAGCCTCTTCCAGAGTGGAGCAGAAAGCTCCGGCTTAGGGATGCTACGCTTTCTGAAAGAAGAGTCACACATTCTAACCCCATCTTTTACTTCCTTTTCCTGGAGCAGGGATGGGTTTGTGCCAACTTTCTCTCACCCGCATCCAGACCTCCCTCGGTACCACAGCCTGAATCGTTGTACCCTGTCCACAAAGCTAACCGGCCCTTGTACGCATGGGTGGGGTCAAGGGCAGGTGCAGCGCGCCTGGACTCCCCCGGGCTCATTTCTTGAGGAGGAATCATGTGTAGTGTGAAAGAATCCAGCTTCAGGAAGCAGCAAACCTGAAATAGTGCCTCAACTCTGCCTTGAGCTGGGCAACCCTGGGGGTCACACCCTTAATCAATCTGAACCCCAGCTCCTTTCTTTCTTTTTTTAAAGGTAACAATACATGACTATCTACCAGCTAGGGTTATTGTAAGGATCAAGTTAGATTAAGTGGGAGGGTTATCTGAAAACCGTGAGGTACAGTTTAGAGGATGGTCATTTCACTTAGGTGGCTCTATCTGGGCAGCGAGTATCTGAAAAAGAAGACAGATCCTAGTTTGTTCAGGGCTGCTGTGGTCACAGAGAAAGGGGCCGTCCGGGCTGCACAGTGCCGCCCCTGCTAAGATAGAGACTGTTCCACCGGCGAGTGAGTTCCGAAGGCACGCCTGCTTCTCCCTGTCCTGGACCAAAGCTCCTGGTCAACTGAAAAAGGCACATTCCGCACCTCGACGTGTTTAAATTTAAATTTAAAACAATTTAAAATATTCAACAAAAGTCCCTGATATTTCATTTCTGGTAAGACTCCTTTGCAAATCCTTGCAAGTGATCCTACCACAAATTCAGGATTCTGAGAGCTTGATACACCCACCAGAACAACTCCCGACACATATTTGGTGCTTTAAAAAAAAAAAAAAAAGCTTAATT